TGTGGCGGTGGTGATGATCGAATGAGAGGTGGAGGCGGCGAAGGCTGGGGTGATGGGAGGGGTGGCGGTAAACGGGGCGGGGACGGGGTGGGTGGTGGCGAGGGTGGTGGCGGGCTGGGTGGCGGCGGAGGCGGGTCAGGCGGCGGTGGGGATGGCGAGGGCAGCGGCGGGCTCGGTGGAGTTGGAGGTTGGGGGTCCGGTGGCGGGGGAGACGCGCTTGGCGATGGTGACGCTTGCGGCGGTGCACATGGCCAGGGTGGGGGCGGGGGCGAGGGGCTGGGTGGTCGGGGAATGGGCGGCGAAGGGTTGGGGGACGGATGAGGGGAAGGGGGTGGAGGGGACGGAGGGGATGGTGCGGGAGGTGAGGGCGGCGGAGGCGTTGCCAACATCTTGAAGCCTGCAGTTGTGCCATTCTGGTCCACCACTCCGGTCACAAGCACGCCAGCATCGACAAGCAGGCAAGCACCATACTGCCATGTGCCATCGGCAAACTTCAGCCCGAGTCTGCATGCGGGGGGCAACAGAGGCGAATGAGCTCGAGCGTTGGCAAGGCCACCACGGAACTGGGCCACACTGGACTGCAGGTGGGGCACGCGAGACGCCTAAGCGCGGCGCTCTCACGGCGGGGTCGCCCGATACATGAAGTAGTAGCACCAGCTCTGGACCTGGCAGCTGCACCAAAAAGGAACAAAGACAATGAGCGCAGGCATGACGGGGGCATCTGCAACCAACAGCCAGAGCCAATCAGCCGCGATTGCCAGCGCCAACTCCCCCACCTATCTTGGCAGCTCGCCGCATCGGCGACACCAAACACTTCTGCACGCGAATCGTAGAAACTGAAGTTGAAAAAGATGTCGGCCTGTGTTTTGAATACGTCTGAAGGGCAGGTATGGGCAGAAAGCGTTTGTAGGAGCAGCAGGTGCAGGCAACCGCAGGCAACAGAGCGGCGCTAGCAGCCAGGCCGACGAGGCTGCCAGGCCTTGTCTGGCATATTCGTGACCCGCCCAAATTCAAACTGACCAGAGCACTGCCCGCCAGCTCACATGTTGCAGGCGGCGTGTCTGAAGCCGCCCCGAACAGAAGGGTTTCCAGCGCGCGGGCCACGTTCAACCGGCCGCTGCTGCTGACCAGGCCATTCAGGCCCGGCACCAGGTCGACCGAGTTTTGCAGCGCGTCCCTGCGGCGGCGTGACAAGCGCTGCTCAGGTCGCTGCGCCAGCGGCCGAGGCGAGATGAGGAGCGTTGAAAGAGGGCAACCCCCCTCCTTGCAACGTTGGGCACCGCTCCTGCCTCACCTGACTTCAGTGTAAGTGGCATCGGGCTTTGCTGCAAACAGCAACGCTGCAGCCCCAGCCACGATGGGCGTGGCCATGGAGGTGCCTGACTCCGGCAAGTAGCTGTTATCAGCCGAGGCCCATGTGCTCATCACATTAATGCCTGGTGCCGCCAGGTGCACTTTGGTTGCGCCGTAGTTGGAGAATGACGCAAGCTGGTCGTCGGCACGGCTGGCGGCAACTGCAGCTCAGGCCAAGCGGGTGTGGATGAGTGTGGGTGGGTGGTCGGGATGGGAGTCGGGCTTGGTGTTTGGCTGGCCCGCCTTGGCTGGCCCCATCTTGCCTGACCCGCCATCCCCTCCACCCGTGCCCCACAATAAAAAAGAAACAAGAACGACCCCACCCACCCCCACCCTTTTCCCACCC